ACTGTTATATAATTTGCAGAGTATAGTCTCCAGGGTTGAGTCACAAGGACCTGGACACAGAATGGAGTCTTTGCTATGTTATCTTTTTCCTTTCAGTTGATGAAACTGTCTGATTGTCTTTACCCTTTAAGGAAGAGTCTGTGACTAACTTTGAATTTAGTTACCCTACTTAAAAAACTTATAATACTCCGTGTTGCTCATTAGTTAGTAGACCAAACTGTGTAAACAGATTTAAATATTTGTCCTTTTCAAAGTTTTACAACCATTACTGAATTTGGTAAGTATATTCTAGATAGGTATAAGACTATAAACAGATTTCTTTTTAATGATTAAAGCAATGACTAACTATTCAAAACACAAAAGCTTTCTTCAGTGGGAAAACATTTAATCACAGGTTTTAAATGTCCATTTAAGTCGAAAGCTAAATAAACAAAGGATTGTGTTGTTTTAAGTGGTTTTTTATTTTGGAGAGAGGGGTAAACATTACTAAAAACAAATCAATAATGAAAGCATTGTAGAGAATTAAGCATCAATTTTATCTCAGGGCACTGATTGACCTCTAAGTTTTATAACTTCAGTGTTATTTTAGCCTCATTATAACCATATCCATTTCAAACAATCCTTTTGCAACATATTTTGATCTTATTATTATTGTTATTACAAAATTTAGAAAAGAATTTTTTCTTTGGTTTTTTGAGACAGAGTTTCTCTATGAGGTCTTGGCTGTCCTGGAACTCACTCTGTAGGCCAGGCTGACCTCGAACTCAGAGATCTGCCTTTCCCTGGTGCTGGGATTAAAGGTGTGCGCCACCACACCTATCTTAGAAAAACTTTAATGAGGTAATTTTTAAAGTAAGTTCAGGAGGCTGTAATATAAAACAAAATATGGTATATTAAATATTCAATAGTCATTAATACAGGTAAAGTAGATTAGCTTTGGTTTACTTAAGCAAACTTAAATTAAGTGTCTGTTAAAGAGTAAAGTTTCAATAGCAGGTACTTTGAAGTGTTTTGCTTTTATGTGTGTGGGATTTCTGTTGTCATGGCTGGCAAAAGCCTTTCCTTTTTTTTTAGTCACCAAAAGTATAAGGCGTAAAGACTGGGGCAGAGCTCAGCATTCATGATTTTATTTTTCTTTTTAATTAGAAACAGAGTTGAATAATTCTGTTACATTCTGAACTATGGTGTAACTCATTAAGATGATCTATAAACTCTAAGATGTCTATGCAAACCTCAAAGTAAGTTTTTAAAATGACAATTCAAAAAATACAGATGTGGGGTTTTCTCTTCCATTGGCCTTGCCAAGGTACGCAACCCTGCTTGAAACCCTGCTCATCCCCTCGTTTATTTTTAAAGAGGCAGCGCTGCTCAAAAACACCCTTGAAATGTTGGTGCACATACAAACACATGTGAAGGAGACCTACGAAAGCACAGGTGTGAGTTAGCCTGTTAGTCTATGGGCTAGCGTTTAGTGTGTCGAGGGTGGCGGTTGTTCACTGGGAAAAACATCCTAGAGAAGGAGCATCATATAGTTAATTTCCACCCTCAAGGGTTAGGGTCCATGTTGTAAACCAGACTGGGTTAAGGATCAGGAGATCACATCTTGTTCTTAAAAGCAGATTTAATTTTTTTTAATCTAAAAACTCACGTTAGTTGCCCCCCCCCCAAAAAAAAGATTTGGGACCATTAAAAGAGCCAAATGAAAAGTGGAATGGACAAAAAGGAGATTTAGTCATGTGATCAACACTGGGAAGGGAGACAATAAGATCCATCAAACCTGCAAGTTTGTCTCGGGACCTGGAGTGAGGTCAGTGTATAGAGGGCTGAGGCTATGCAAGACTAATCAGACCTGGTGGAGGTGGTGCCGTCATCAGGCTTCAGTCTCTCTGAGGGATTTGAAAAGTTGCTAGAACTGTTTGAAGTCAGGGAGACAAGGTCCCCCTCCAGCTGGTGCCCTTCCCACTCCCAACATGAGATACCTGGGGAACTCCTATGTCCTGAGGTTCCATGGCTTCAATGGTGACAGTCAACTGAGACCCGTGTCTCTTGAGAGCCATTTCTAACAGACTGGTTACTCCGGGAATCAGTTTTGATGATGAAGTTCTCCTGAAAAAACCACATGTGACCCAGTAGCAGAGCTGGTGGCTCTGGGAAATGTCTACCGTTGGTGTCGGTGGCACTTAAACATTTAGAGAGTTTCTTGTTAGATAAGAGGGACGCAGAACCCCATGTTTAGGAGGATTGGCAGATCAAGATAACAAACAGGGAAACTCCCCAAGATGCTTGAAGATGGGGCTCAGGATAAGTCCCCAGGAATGCTGGAGAGGGGACACAGACAGATGCATTTGGTTATCTTTAATAGTCTGACGTGGTCCCCTAAGCTCAGTCCAAGCTGAGATTTGGGGTTTTAAGGCCAAAAGGACTTTTAGAGCTGGTTAAGACACGTTGATGTAAGCGTGGGAGTTAAAGGGAAAGAAGCTGCTCAAAGAGAAGGTAAGGTAGGAGGCCACGATGAGCAGACCAGAGAAAAAGGGAAAAGGGGAGGAAGAGGGAAAAGAGGGGAGGGGTGGGGGAAGAGGGAGGAGGGGAGAGCTATCTCAGAATTGACCTTTGACATAAACCTCCCAAAAGTTTTTATTAATTTTTTATTTTAGCATCTACTTTAACTCCTCTGGCTTAAGAGCTATTTGTTGTGAATTGCCTATTTGATCAGTTTTGGGAGATCATTTTACATCTCAGTTAAAGCCAGCTGCCTATTTGTGATTTTTGCCTAGGACTTTGCTTTTATTGCCTCCTACTCTGGAGGTAACTGTTTGGGTTATCTTTAGTGTGTTTTTTCCAAACACTTGCAAGTTAGTCAGCAATTATCACTCCTAGAGCTGCTGGAGAGGCAGATGGCCATTTACCTCCAGGCAGTTCCCCCTCTGTGGAAACCTCATTCTCTTTCTTTTTTCCATTCTGAGAAGTTACCCATCTGTACTAGCTAGAGACTACGTGGTTTTGGTCAGTTTTGTGTGCTGCTTTTGGCAAAGGCTTTCTCAGCTTTTACCCTGAAACCAACTTCTCCTACTGGGTCTTCCTTACATGTTACATAAGCGTGAGGGCGCTCAAGACTCTAGGTGAACAAACCGGTGTCTTTCCGGGTAGACGGACGAGCCAGTGAAATGTCTTCTGACCCAGAATAGGCACGTTTGCTGAGTTCCCTTGAGGCCGTTGCACACAGAGAGGCATTCCCCCTGATGCCTCAACTCTGTGGCGTGGTTTGGGGTGGGGGCGAACAAGTGCTTCTCCCCTTCAGTGTCCCTATCATAAAACTCCTAAGCTAAAGGTTTGACAAGGTCACAGGAGAAGTAACAGAAAAAAAGCAGAATTAAGGATTTGAGGAGCATCAGGAAGCAAAGGTCAAATGTCAGGAAGCAAAGGTCAAGTGATATAAATGAAAACATTTCAAGGACAAGAAAAACCACAACAAAACAGAAACTAAAATGCCTTCAAAGTCCCAGAAGCAGATAAAATACTGAAAAGGAGCCAAATAGCAGAATCTAAATTGCCTTTAGAATTCTGAATGCAAGCAAGCAAACCAAACCAAATATTAGAACAAAATGCTTTCAAACAAACAAACAAACAGATAACCGCAAAGCAAATATTCTGAAAGCAGACTAAAGAGATTGCTATCGAAATATGGTCTTTTAACCAGCTCAGGGTCGACAAATAGACTGTCCACAAAACCCAGGAAAGAGCTCACCAACGACCCACCTGAGGAAATCACACCAGATGGCCAGGGCTCACGGGATGCATGCAGGTACCTGGCTTCCATTCAGGCAGTTCCTCTGTGAAAAGTGAACCATTTTTAGAACGCCGCATGTCACCATATCTGTCGACACAAAAACTACAGCTCTCATCTTAAAGGAAATATGAGCTCGTTTATTCTGGAGTCATTTTGAGTGACCATGGCTCAGAAACACAGATTTAGGTTACCCCAAATTCCATGTTCTAACATGGAAGCAATTTTATAAAGTTTTTATAGTTTTATAGGACAGATACAGCCTGAATCAAGGCAAGTTTAAATGCATTGGTGGGTCTGTCAGAGAGGTGGCTACAGCAAGACGTTGCTGTAGACCAAGAAGCTCTCTGATGGCGGTCTTGGTTTCTGAATTGCAGGAAACTAGTGATCTGCTAAGTTAATGGATTCCAAAGAGTTTCTGTCTACTGGTCAGGGGAGTTAGTTCTGATGCAGGAGTGGGCAAGGAATGGCGGTTCCAAGGAGCTAGAACTAGTCCAAGGGAAGGTAATTTGCTCCTACACATCCCACCTCTCCATGGTGCTGCCGTTCTAATCAATCAGGGTCTGGAGACGCAGCTTTTTTCTAAGAGCTCTGGTTCCTGAGATCAAACCTGGGGCCTGCAGCATTCTAGGCAAGCAAGGGCCTACTCCCCAGACCTTCCTGTATAATTCTGCATCTCTTATCTCCGCACCTCCACATAGTGGTAGCATTACTTACATGTTGTGGTCTCCTTGTATATAGGGCTGACTGTGTCTGGTCAGTGAACCAGGCTCCAGTCAGGTGTGTGTGACCCCAGAGATCACAGGTGGGTGTAGCATGATCAATAAGAACTCAGAGACAATATTGGGGTTTAACTTGAAGACCAGAAAAGCAAAGCAGCCAGCCACTGGCTCTTATCTTGACTTCAGTCCGAAATGGCGATCCTGCCTCCAGGAATCCTCAGACTGAGACTAAGAGCTGTCTCCTCCTGTTTTATAATCTCTCTAGTTGTGGGAGTAAGGGTGTGCACCACTACCACCTGGTTTCTATGGCAAACTAGTGTGGCTACTGGGATTAAAGGTGTGTCACCACTGCCTGGTCTGTAAGGCTGGCCAGAATGGCTATTTTACTTTTCTGATCTTCAGGCAAGTTTTATTTATACAATTGGAATGTCACTCCAGGTGGGTTCAGATGTCTGGGAGGTGTGTCATCTGCTGACCCTTTGCTGTCTCTGCAGAGTGGCCTGAGTTCGTGAGGAACTATGCCCCATGGTGGGCCACACACACGCTGGACTGGCTCAAATTTGGCAAGACAGTACTAGTGGTGCACTTCGAGGATCTCAAGCAGGACCTCTTTGCCCAGCTGGGCCGAATGGTCAGCCTGCTGGGTGTGGTGGTCAGGGAAGACCGGTTGCTGTGCGTGGAGAGCCAGAAGGACGGCAACTTCAAGCGCTCCGGGCTCCGCAAGCTGGAGTATGACCCGTACACGGCCGAGATGCGCAGGACCATCGCCGCCTACATCAGGATGGTAGACACAGCACTGCGCAGTCGCAACCTCACAGGGGTGCCCGATGCCTACGGCCCAAGATGATAGATAGCCAGGGAGGGACCGAACAACCCCCGTGGCTCCAAGAGCTGACTTCCCTCTGGCATGAAGACAACCCCGGGCTTCTGCCTGCCATCAGAGAGGCCCCTCCGATGCCTGGGGAGGAGACAACCAGGCACCTTTCCCTGACTGCTTGGTTTGGGGAGTCCATATCCCTGATGTTGGGGAGAAAAGGGAAATGTTTATCATGGAGACGGCAGTGGTTGGGAGGTTCTGAATGTGACAGCTGATAGACGGTTATATGCAGTGACCCTGCAGCTGACTGTGAGGGCCCCTGTCTTTTTCCCTGAGCAAGCACCGGCTTTCTGATCCTCTGTGTGACAGACAGGTGTCTGGTATGTGTCTCCATGGCCTTAGAAGTCTGACTTCTGAGGTAGGAAGACCGGTGCTTTGGCACCACCGTGGGAGCTGCCCCCACATGTGAGATCCAAGCTGGGTACCGTTCCACCAGGACTGAAACTGTCCTTTCTGCCCACACTATGTCTTGGGGTTGGGAGTGACTTTGGGATTCTTGATCCTTCTTCCAAAGTCCCTTAGGTACCAAAAACCAACCCAGCAGTTGGCCATGTGCCGAATACAGAGCCCCAGTGACCCATATTTTCAGGGTGGGATCCAACATGTCTATCTTACACTGCCCCCCTGAGTCCCTTAACTGGGGAGTCCTTTACTACCCAGGGGAGCACAAAAGTGCTCCAACTCAGAAGGTGGCACACTCAAAATAGCCCCCTACCTGCCAAGACATCAGCCTCCCTTCCCTTGCATATAGCCCAACAGGGCCAGTCCCTACTGGGGACTCCTTAGAAATGGGGTAATGGATGGCCCTCCATTTTCACAGCACCACCGCTCTCGACGCTGAGACACCAAACCAAAGGATTTCTGACTTAGGTCACTGGTCATGTTTTCAAGCGCATGCATCCAGGATCCTGTCTCCCCACCTTGGATCCCTGCGGCTTCCCCTCCAGCCCACACCTTCATCATTTCCACTGCACAGAAACAAAAGCCATAGTCACAGCCCCCTTGCTCTTCTGTCTGGAGCAGCTCCCCGCCCGCAGCTTTGGGGGCAAACACTCATTCCCAGCTAGCCAAGGAACCCAGGAGAAGGTTCATGAAAAGAGATATATTTTTTTAAGAGGAATATGACCAAGACATTCTGCCCCTTGGATACTGGCCACGCAAAAAGGAAGGGCCAGAGACTCTACCTGATTCCCTTCTCCAGTGCCCTCATCTGGAGGCTTTGGACCACCCCAGGGCTCGGCCAGAGGGCTCTGAATGTATTTTGTATGGTGTTTTTTCCCTCCAGGCTCATTTTTAGTTTTCTTTTACTGGGTAGCAGATGACCACCTCTCCCCTCCAGTTTGGAGGTCATTCTCTCTGGCTCCAGAACCTGGACCAGTTCCTTGCTAGTGGCCACCTCTGGTCACGAACTTTCTGTTCAAAGATTCCTCAGGTCAATGCGATCATTAAAGAGTTTTGTTGCTAATTCTACAATGTGGCCCTGTTGTAGATGCTGCGCTCACAGATGAGACGTTTTCTTGGGTGTGTGTGAGAGAGAGAGAAGAGAATATCCAAGAAAGGGCTGAGGTGTGAAATTCTCTGCGCTTGTGCACAGATGTGGAAGACGTGTTCTTAAAAGGTCTCTTCTGTATATGTGAGTGACAGAGGCCCCGTGTGGCTGCTGTACATGTCTCCTCACTAGGGGAGCCAGTGACAAAGAGACACAGGGAAGCTTCTCTGATGCGGAGAATGCTGTGGTTGGCCCATTCAGTCCCCAGACCTCTACCCTGGCTTCTCACACCAGACTGCAGCTTCTCTGGGGAGGGCTGTGACCAGAGACTTTCCCAGCCAGAGGGAGAAAGGGCTTTTAATGTTGCCTTGTTGGCAGTGGGGGGCTTCACCCCACTCAAAGTCCCAGCCCCCGACACAGGAGCAAGAAGGACTTGAGTGGTAGAGTCATGGGGGAGGGAATGCTGCTCCTGAGAACCATACTGGGTGAATAAGTTCATGTGGGCCTGGGCTGACTCAGATCTCAATCGTAAGCCAACTCTTACCTGTCACAGATGTATCCGTTCCTAGACCCTTGAGCCCGGGTCACTCAAACCTAGACCCTTGAACATGTGTCACCTGGGATGGGACAGGACAGAAACTTCCATCTACATAGACCCTTGAACCTGGGTCACCCAAACCTAGACCCTTGTACCTGGATTGCAGCTAAATCCTGATACAGTTTATATGATTCTAGACACATGCTGGTCCATGATCAGTCTTAGACTAACCATACTCCTTATCCTAACTCCACATTGACTGAGTCCCAAGACTGGTTTTATGCATACTGAACCCTACTTCTGGTTCTTTGACCATTCTGACCATGTTCCCAGGCTGATCCCTGACCTGCCCCAAACAGATGCAATTGATGTCTCTTGACTGGTCCTTAATCTGTGTCCTGACTGACTCTGGTGCTGACTAAGTTAGATTCTTGGCTTGGGAGGAGTCTTAGCCTTGGCCGTGTGTCCCCTGATGTGATCTTACATCAAGGCTTGACTAGTCCTAGTGGCCAGAACCAATAAACTGTTTTGAACCTAAGTCTCTCTATGTCCCTGAGGCCACTTGTGCCCACCCACTCCCAGTGAGGGAAGCCATGTAGCATCTAGCTGGCCTGGATTCTTGTCTCAGGATCACACGGAACCTGCTGCATCCATCTTCCACTCTTCCCTGATGGTCCAGCCACGGCCAGGGGTGAAGCTAGGCTAAAGCACTTGCCAACATCTGCCCAGCCTGCGGCCATTTGCATTCAAATCTTTCTATTTCAGACTTAGGAGGAACTAAAGTAGCTTCTGTGATCATCACCCACACATACTTCCTAAGTATGTACTGTCAGTGTGAAACACCCTACACATACTTCCTAAGCACACACTGTCGATGTGACACACCCTACACATACTTCCTAAGCACACACTGTCGATGTGACACACCCTACACATACTTCCTAAGCACACACTGTCGATGTGACACACCCTGCACATACTTCCTAAGCATGCACTGTTGGTGTGGCACACCCTGTACATCCTTCCTAAGCATGTACTGTCAGTGTGAGACACCCTGCACATACTTCCTAAGCATGTACTGTCAGTGTGAGACACCCTGCACATACTTCCTAAGCATGCACTGTTGGTGTGGCACACCCTGCTCCCTGTTTTAGAGTCTGAAAGAGGATTTAAAGCCTCCATCCCTATAGAGTTCACATCTTACCAGGTACCCAGCAGTCATTTCAAGTATCAGAAAGCATTTGGGGAAGAGAATGGTAAGGTCTCTGGTGACCCCTGTGAGCCGCAGACACTGCTGAACCCCAACACAGAGATTAATTTCAGAGCCAAGGCTCTCACTATGGAAAGCAACATGAAAAATAGCTACGGGTCCCAGTGGTCCCCAGTACAGGGAGGGCAGGGGGCATCCAAGCTGAATCCTGCTGTCTTCTCACAGTGGCTCCCAGACTCAAGTAGAATAAGGCTGATTCTTGGAATCAATTCCAGGTTTTCCCAGGCGCCATGAAGGTGGCCACATCCAGCGTGGGAGGGAAGAAGAGAGCCAGGGAACGGGCAGGTCCTCCAAAGCTGCCCTGGCTCAGGCTCAGCCCTTTTTCCCTTACGTATCTCTTTTGTTTTCTTTCTTCTCATCCCTCCTCCTCCTTACTGTTTTTCTTACAGCCATGGTTTCCCTCCTTGCGGTCTGATTTCCGCCAGCTACCTAGGGTGCCTCTTCCTTCTCTGCCTGCCCCCGACTGTCCCTCTGCCTTTCTCTGTCCTCACCATCCACTTGGTCGCTGCATTGTTGTTACAAGTGTCTCTCCATCTCTACCCCTTGACCTTGGAGCTCTCAACTTCTCTCTCCTTCCTTCCTCCCTCTTTCCTACCCCATCTCCTCATCCTGCAGAGTGGGGGTGGCTTTGTGGGATTCAGGCATCATGAGACAAATGTACCAAGGTTGGTAACCAAGGAAGTGGTTTCCTTAGCAACAGAGTCTGCAGGCTGGGGCTGCACTGCCCTGTCCTTAACTCTGCTATTACAATAATAGAATAAAGGAAGAAAGAAGAAGGGAGGAAATGAGTGAGAGAAGGAAAGAGAGAACAAATGTCAGGCTGAGTGCCTCAATGTGATCTCTGCTCTGGTCCCTCCAGGAGGGGACAGTGCTCCAGCACCAGATCATTGTTGGATGCTTTGGAAAGGGTGAGGGATAAGAGAGACAAAGTGGAGAGGGTTGGGGTAAGCGCCTGAAGGGCAGATAGGTAGAAAAGACAAAAAGGGCAGACGGGGTCTGGAGCTCCCAGGCTCAGCAGCCCCTCACATCAGGGGGATCCTGTGACTGAAGGGAGCATAGGGGGATCAGGTGAGGGTGGGAAAGTTTCCTATGGTTTCCTGTTTCTCTTAGCAGGGATGGGGGTAGGAGAGCATAAAGAAGGATGCAGAGATCTCCCATTCCATCCTCCTCCAAGGAGAAACACGGAGGTGGGAACCACCCAGAGTGTGGCCAAGGCACGAGATGCTCAAAGAAGTTGTTCACTTTGGGGCACAGAAGTTGGTGACAATGCTTGGGTTGGAACCAGAAACCATCAGAGTCCTGTTTGGAAGCTGGAGAGGCAAAGGGTGTACTTGGAGAGAAGGGGGGGGGGCAGAGAGAGAGCAGGAAGGGGAAAGGAGGGACAGAGGGCTGAGGAGCCTTAAATCATTGCTCCCAAGTTGTTTTACATGCCCGAATGCATTACAGACTGCTTAGCTGTAAAGGACGGTCTCCAAAGAACACATCTGTCCAGAGGTATTCCGTTCTAGAAAGACAGACTGGGTCCCCCTTCTAGGCTGGTGTTCAAGAGTCAGGGATATACGAGGCATGGGGATGAAGGGCACAGAGCTGTTAGTGGAAACAAACATGTCCACCTCTTTCCAAAAAGCATGGCACACAGGGTGAGGTGCACACAGCAGCGCATCTATCTATTCCTCTTTGCCAGTTTAGCGCTTCCTTCAGATGTGAGCCTGTTATCTGCCAGCATTCAGGGGAGATGCCTGAAAAGGAGGGAATGGTGAGGCGTTTCCCCACCCCCACCCTGGCTTTCATCTCAGAAGTGGTCACAATACTCCAGCAGACTGGCAGCACTGTGTCTGATTGAAATGGGCAGACCCTGAGGGAGGCGGCTCATTGATGCAAATAACTTGGGGCATTAGGAGGCATGGGCTTCTAGACTGCAGGGAATGAAGAATCGGCAGAGTGGCAGAGCAGAGCCTGGCTGGTGACCTTCATGAGTCCCCAAGTGAAGGGCTGGAGGGAGAAGTCTCTGGTGAGGCCTGAGGTGGGCACTCATCCTGTCATTATGGCCACCCAGGCTTCCTGAACACGACATGACTGCTGATCTCAGATCTTCTGAACCTTATTTTCCCACAGATTGGGCCCAAGGTTAGGAGCTTCCTGCTATAAGGACCACAGTAATGAGAGCTAATGGTGGGGGCAGTATGGAAGTCCTCCAAGCTTGCCTATGTCACATATGAAAGAACACTCACACATCATCCCAAGGGCGTGGCACTGATGACTATGGCCGTCGCCCCACTTGGTGCCCAGCACAGAGTAGGTGCCCAGGGATTCCTGAAGGAGTGGTGTTCCAGTAAAGCTCCTGAGAGAAGCCACAGTCGGCAACCAGGACAGGCCTGAGATAGATAGCCCTTGCTGCCTGGGATCCATCCCACAGCAGGCCTAAGATAGCTCTTGCTGCCTGGGATCTGTCTCCCATAAACACTGAGATCTCTTTTGCTCTCACCACCCCCCACACCTGAATTCCTAAAGCTAACCGTATAGTGTAGCCCTTATCCTGGTCCCCAGGAGCCAGCTGTGCACAAGTAGTGATGCCACATGGGAACTGGTCAGTACTACAGAACAGATGTACGTAGGGGGCACCTCCCAGTCCTCCCAGGAAGTGGCTGATGGCTAACTGTCTATAGGACTCTATTCAGGCTTCTTCTCCCAGACAACCTGACCACACAGACCACAATCAGCTTCTCCTCAGCCACCCTGATCTTGCCTTTGGATATGACAGTATGTAGTCATGTTAGAACCCAGAGCATGTGTTTGTGTGTGTTGTGCACGAGACTAAAGCTGTGTTGTCAAAGGCCGGTTGACTCACCAGAATGGCATCTCTGTGGGGAGCTGGGAATGTTGCAGGTCCAGAGCCTGATCTGTGGAGGACCACTTTGGGCTACCTCCAGCTCCCTGAATAGCCGTTCCTTAACTGCCTGTGTTGGCCCTAACATGCTATGACTAACAGGTAAATCCTAAGATGTTTTAACTCAGCAGAACCCCCCCCCCCAGCTCCCACCAACCTGGAAGCTGAGTATCATCAAAACATAACCGAGGCCTTCAGCCAAGGTTCATCCACCAGTGAGTTTAGAAAGTGTCTTCATCTGTGGCTGAGTTTTTCTGTTCCTATAAAAACTTCATGAAACGGCTTACTAGTTGGGACATGGAATTTGGGAAGACCTAAACCTGTGTTTCCCAGCCACAGTCACTCTATCTCCAGAATAAACTCTCTCTTTTTTTCAGGTGAGAGCTGTGTTTTTGTGTTGCTAATGTGTATATGTGTGTTTGCCTATGTGTGTTCACACCGAGGTATGCTCATGTGTGCTCATACACTACATATGACTGTATATGTGTGTGTGCATGTACATGCATGTGTCACATACCT